TTCGCGAAACATACAGGGCGGTTCTTGACAATACTGCTCAACTGTTGCAACATCCAGTGCAATAGTGTTGATTTGGTTTTGGGAGACCACCTGCAACTGCACGGCGACTCAACGATTTTGCGCCTCAATCCCGGCGATCGTTCCTGTCCCAGCAAGAACAGGTCGAGCCACAACTGCCTCTCCTGGAGGTTGCCATCTGGCGGCGCACCTTCGATGTGCTCGAGGCGGTCATCCACGAGCTTCCTCAACACTGTTTCTTCGAAACCGAGGCATACCGAAGCCGTGTGACATGAAATGAGGCGCACCGATAATCTCATTGATATCATCTTGCTCAAATGCAAGAAATGGTTGCCATTCGATGCGCGACGCATTTCAGATGCATGGAATCGAACCCCACATACGTCGATGTATACGCAAACCCTTGTTCCTCAGCCTGGCGCAATACATCGCCATCTGTGGTCACTAGGCGCTGTCGCCGTTCAAAGCTGGCAGGTGTGTCTCTTGACTTCGGCCTTGACCTTTCACGGCGCTGCGTGTGCCACTCTGGATGCTTACTGGGCATGGCTCTGATGCCACGCTGGCAAACTGAAACGAAAGCACTGGATGTGCCCATCAACCTCGACGAGCAGACACAATACCCAACACATTGCCATTGTCTTCTGTTGCCAAACTTCACTGATTGATGCCGTGAGCTTCTCTTTTTTCGGGAGTGAGAGAGGAGCTTGCTTGGACAACTGCATTTAACTCATCTTCCGGAGCGCGCAACCTCATCGGAGCCTCGGCGTGTTAGCACGACTCCGTAAAGAGCAGCAGTTTTCCTCCCGATCGGCGCGTGTCCAAAATGATTTGCTGCATTGCACGCATCGCCTCAACATGGTGTATACACAAGCCTGCCCTGGCGAGATACCGTCGCCGTCTCGACACAGGAACGGCGTCGTGCCCAATATCGCGGCTTATGCTTTCAAGCTGGCATGCGAACGTCTTGTTGAAATTATGGTCAGCAATAGGTTTGAACACTGCATCCGTGAGATGCCGTGCGTCGCCCTGGTGGACTCACCCCCATAGCACAGACACACCGCATAGAGAAGCTCTTGCATGGGCGATCTCTTCGACGGGGCCAATGGCATCTGGGTTCGCAGCGACGGCCAAGCCCGCGGTTATGTGAGGGGCATCTGCAGCCCCTCCGTCCACTGGACCGCCCGCGCCTGCATCCGCCTCGTCGCCTTCTCTACTCTCCAGATGCTGGCGACCCAGGTTGAGGAAAACATTGGACGTCAAGCGCGCTGGCGACGCGTCGTCGCCAGCTCGCTGTTCGTCGCGGCCGCCACCCTCCACGTCGCCAAGACACTGACGAGCAATGGCAGCTTGGAGGCTAGGCCCGGGCGCGCCTGCGGACGGCTTCCCGTCGCCGCCGCCAGCCTCCTCGTCAACACTCACTGGCAATGGCAGCTTGGAGGCCAGCCCAGGGCACGGGAGCAGTGGGGGACCCTTCGTTGCCGCCAGCCTCCACATCAAGACACTCATTGGCAATGGCAGCTTGGAGACTAGCCCATGGCATGGGAGCGGCACACTCCTGGCAGAGCGCGTGGGCTAAGAACTGTTTGAGCCAACGCGGTTACGGACGCTGGCATCTCGAACTCCCCGATCCTCTCTCTCTTCGCGCACCGACCCCGAGAGCGCTCTCGGAACGAGCCCGCACGTGCTTCAGGGGCCCAGTGACGCCGCTGGCCAACTCCTGGATCTTCGCGCCCCCAGGCAGTTCTCAAGTCTTCGCGTCCAAGACCCCGCGGACGTGCCCCAGTGAACCACGAGGCGCGAGACTAATGCTGAGGGGTGATCGTCCTCCTCCTCTTCCTCCCGTTCGTTTTGCTTGCCCTTGGCAGTCATCGTAGTTGTCGTTGTCCTCCACCCCCACTTCATCCTCCTTTTCCCCACCCGCTGCGATTTTGGCTCAAGCCTGCGTTTGGCTACCGAAGTGGCCCTCTTTATCGGGGGACTACGTTGGCCGCTTACGAGGATATCTTTTCTCAAGTCCTGAGGGGGGCTCCGAGAGCAGTTGGATCCGTCTTGTGGCCTCATCGGGCCTCCATGTCGGAAGCGATCTTGGAACATTTTCGACTGTCTTAAGCCGCCTTGAAGGCCATCTTGGAGCACCGGAGGCCCTCTTCGAGCCACCTTGGGCCATCTTGCACGCTCTAATCCCTCCCCATCCCCCGTCCAGACCCAGGGTGGGGTGGTTGGTAAACCTCCCCGAAGTGAAGAGGGTTTTCGGAAGAGGATACAAACATATCGCTAGACCACCGTAGCCCAAAAGGCTGGTGGGATAGGCCCCCCCTCTGGAGCCGCCAAACTCGTCTCCCAGGGGCTTCTCGCGGCGGTCTTGGGTGCTCTTGGGGCATCTTGGGGCCATCATGGGGCCTCAAAGCCGCATCGGTAGCGACTAGGCGGGAAGTCAAACATCATTGTTTTTTCAAAACACATGCGGATGTTGGCCTCTTGGGTGGGGGTCCCGAGGGGGCTCCGAGAGCATCTGGAACCGTCTAATGGTCCTCCTCGGGCCTCTTGGAGATATGTTGGAAGCGATCTTGTTGGAGGCCATCTTGGAACCATGGAACCTCCTTGGGCCATCTTGTGTGTAGGAGCATCGGAGTTCCTCTTGGAACCACCTTGGGCCATCTTCGACGCTCCAACCCCTCCTCCCCTCCCCCCCGTCCAGACCCAGGTAGGGCGGGGGGAGGTAAATCCCCCCGAAGGGAAGATGGGATTGGCCCCCTCCCCCCCCTGGAGCGGGCGCTCTTGGGGCGCTCTTGAGCGCTCTTGGGGCCCTCGTGGGGCTCTCTTGGGCCCTCTTGGGGCCATCTTGAGGCCTCAAAGCCGCATCGGAAACGAGCAGGCGAGAAGTCAAACATCATGTTTGTTGTTCACAGATTTTGGCTTCTTGGGGGTGTCCTGTGAGGGCTCTGATAGCATTTGGAACAGTTTTGTGGCTCTCGTCGGGCCTCTTGGAGGTATGTCGGCGGCAAGCTTGAAACATCTTCGGCTGTCTTGAGCCGCCGTGGAGGCCATGTTGGAGCATCGGAGGCCCTCTTGGAACCACCTTGGGCCATGTGGACGCTCTAACCCCTCCGCCCCCCTCCCCCCCGTCCAGACCCAGGGAGGGCGCAGGGGAGATACAACCTCCCCGAAGGGAAGAGGGAGGGTTTTTGGACGAGGAAACCGAGATATCGCTATACCAGCTTAGCCCAAAGGGCTGGTGGGATTAGGGCCCCTCCCTGGAGCCCCCAGAGTCGTCTCCTGGGGGCTTTTCTGGGCGCTCTTGGGGTTGTCTTGGTGCTATCTTGGGCCCCTCTTGGGCCCCTCTTGGGGCCCTCTTGGAACCATCTTGAGGCCTCGTGAGCCCGTTGGAAGCGAAATGCGAGAAAGCTAACATCATTGATCTTCTTATGGCTTTGAACAATTTTAGCCTCTTGGTGGCCTCCTTGGGAGGCTCCGAGGCCACTTGGACCCGTCTTGGACTGGTCGTGGGATCTCTTGGAGAATATTGGAAGCCATTTTGAGCGGTCTGCAGTATCTTGGGTCATCTTGGAGGTGATCTTGGGCTCTCGGAGGACCTCTTGGAGCCATCTTGAGCCCCAAGCCGCCCTCCCGTCCAGGTCTTGGGGGAGAGGTAGGAGAGGGTTCAAGCTACCCACCCGCCCGCGAGCCTTCTTGCTCACTCCCACCCGCCCTCCCAACACATGAGTAACACCCCGATGTCAGCGTATCGCGTAAGAACGCCACAGACGCCACGGATTTGGAAGCCTCTTGGGACTGGCTTTGAGCTTTCTTTGCCAATTTTTGAGCCATGGGGAGGTTTCGAAAGCCCATCCGAAACGATAAGGCGAAAAGGCAGCGGCGACTGATGTGTCAAACTAGTCGGTCGACCACCTGCGCCCAGAAGGCAGGTGGGATCTGCTGGCGCCCCAGCCGTCCCTGTAAAATACCAATGCAAAGTGATCGCGGGGCGGCTGCGCATGCTCTAAATGTGGAGACAGAGTGCGTTTTGTATTGTTTTTTGAGAGGGATGGTGGGGATGTTGGCCCTCACTGGGTTATCATGGTTCCGGGTTGGCTGCCGGCCGGGTGGGGGAGGGGTTGTATATTAGTAGGGAAAATGGATAACCCCTTCCAGAAGGGGAAGAAGGGGGTTGGAAGAGGAAACCCGCTAAACCATTCACGCCCTACAGAGCTGGTGGGATTTGATATCGTTCTTCTCCCGCTAGGCTCCACGACCTACGGTGCTAGGATTTTTTCCAATCCGTCGGCCCCAATGCTCTTGATCCCCTATCCCGAGGCAGTTTCCAATACCGGCCCAGGACATTACTCTGGAGCCAGCCCATCATGGAGGAAAAGCGTAGGGGCTCAACAAAATTGTCCGAGGTTCCCCAGAGGTCCCTTGAGAACCCGGCGCAGGTCCACGGAGGACCCGCGGGCCCCCCCCAAACCAGTCCAACAATCCCAACTGTCATCGTCGTTGCCGTCGTCATCTGCGAGGCCACGACTCCGCCCGCTCCGCCCCTGAGGGGCACGGACGATCGCCCGCTGGTGCGTTCTGCTTTCGATTCCGATCCTGGTCCCATGGAAGCACAGGGTCACCCGCGGGTGTGCGAAGATGTTTGCGCTTCGCGCGTCGCAGTCTGCTGCCCCTGTCCGAGGGAGCGGCGCGAGGGTGCGAAGGAGCGAAGTCATCGCACATCGCGCATCGCGGGGCGCCTCGCAAGATGTCATGATAATGATACGTCCAAGATTCCCTCGGTTTCCAAGACTTCCGAATTTTCCATACGTGCTGCAGAAACGAGAGCCGCTAGATATTCTGAACATCCTGAAGCGTATCCTGAGCTGATCCTATCATGATATCATCCTCGTCCCAATAAGGGGAGCCTCGCTTTGTCCCGCAGCGGCGGCGCGCGCTCGCGCTGCTCCGCGCGGCTCCCGCGCCCGCGGTGCACGGCCCGCGCCAAGGATCAAGTCGCGCGTCTGGGTCGGGGGGCTGCCGGAGAAGGTCACGGAGGCCCCAGCGTAGGGGGGAGGGATGCGGGGGGGTCTCCCCCGTCCTTCGTCGAGTGGCGGTCGGGTGCGTCCAAGGGGATGTGAGGACTGCGGCAGGTGCTCGTCGTGCCGTCGGCCGCCGCGGGCGTTCAAGTTTGAGGGCCGCCTGTGGCCCAGAATCGGCCAACACGGAACGATCTGGCGGTCGAAGCGCCGCCGATCGTGCAAGATTTAGCGATCCACGCGGTGTCAGTGTGTGTGTGTGTGTCTGTGTGTGTGTGTGTGTGTGCGTGTATGTGTGTGTGTGTGTGTGTGTGTGTGTTGGCACTCGCGTGTGGCGGCCTTTCCGCCCCCTTCGCCATGCCTGGTTTTCAAGCCGACCCCTCCTCTGAGGTGGTCACACGCTGGCCTTCCCTTCCGGGCCGCCTAGCAGGTCACCTGTGACCTCGGCTCCCCGGGGTACCTCGCTGCACCACCTTCGCCTCCAGCTCCTGCTGGGCCTTTTCCCCAATGGGCGCTTGCTTCTGGCGGCCGCCCCGCCTGCCTACCCCCCAGTTGCCGCCTCGCCGCCGCTGGCCCTTCCCCCGGCGCCCCCCCGCCGCTGCTGGCCCCCCTCTGAGCGGGCCCAGCTCCCCCCTCCTTCTTGTCTGCGCCGGGCCTCTTTCTCTCTCTCTCCCCCGCGCATTGCGGCTTAATTGGCGCTCCGTGCATCTTACTTACGCCCCATCTCCGGCGCAGTGACTCTGCCTAGCCGCCGACGCAAAGTAAGTGTGTGTGTGTGTGTGTGTGTGTGCGCCGGCGCTGCTTCCCCCCTCGGCGCTCCCCCCGCCGCAGCCAGCGGCTCTGAGTGGCCCGGCTTCCTCTTTTCCTGTCGCGCCAGGTCTCCTCCTCCTCCTTCCGTGCATTGCGGCCCTAATTTACATACAGCGTGTCCTCTGTGTTGCCTATCCGCCGGAGCAGTCGCCCTGTGCCCAGCCGCCGACGCAAGTGCGTGAGTGTGTGTGTGTGTGTATGTGTGTGTGCGCCGGCGCTGCTCCCCCCTCGGCGCCCCCCCCCGCCGCAGCCGGCGGCTCTGAGTGGTCCAGCTTCCTCTTTTCCTGTCGCGCCAGGTTTTTCCCCTCCTCCTTCCGTGCATTGCGGTTTTAGTCTACGTACAGCGTGTCCCCTGTGTTGCCTATCCGGGGTCCGTAGCCATTTTGGCTCAAGCCGTCTGGCTCGAGCCGCGCGGAGCGCGCATGGCGCCCCCGGGGGCCGCGGGGCGCGCAGGGCGCGGCATGCCAGACCTCCCTCCCTCGGCGGATTGGAGTCTTACGCCACCCGCTACCATTCTGGGATCGGCGCGTGCTGGATGACCAAGCGGTCGCAACGGGCTTTGGCACGGCTCGGCGGGATGCGTGGGGCGAATATGGAGTCTGACGGCCACGTACGGGGCGTGAAGCAGCAGCCAAAAGCCATCAGCTACAACGCTGGGATCAGCGCGTGTGAGAAGTGTTCGGCCTGCTGCCAGATTTGTCCATTCGGGTCTGGGAAGCTCCGAGTTGCGTCTGGGCGCAAATTCTTTCCGCTCGGCTGGAAATGATGTGCCTTGCTCCAGACACGATAACAAGTGGAACCGGCGATCTTGGGATCTGCGGGCTAAATCTTTGGCCGCTTTTAACAAGCAAAAGTGATGTGCAGAGCAGTTGGATGATCGCCGCATCGACCTTGCCCGTCGACGTACTTGCTCAAGTCTCCCTCCCTCCTTGTCCCCTGCATTCGCCTTTTTGCTTTCCTCGCTTCGCTCGACTGCATTCTTTTGTCAGCGTTTTCTTGGAATACCTTCTCACGCGCCGCTGCTTCAGGGAAACTCCGAGTTGCGTCTGGGCGCGAATTATTTTCCGCTCGGCTGGAAATGATGTGCCTTGCTCCAGACACGAGAACAAGTGGAACTGGCGATCTTGGGATCTGTGTGTGTGTGTGTGTGCGTGTCCTCCTTCCCCCTCCACAGTTGTAAGGTGCGTTTCGGTCGGCGCGCCTTCCACCCCAGTTGGTGCGCCAGATTCCGCCCCCCAGACGCGCCATCAATCCCAGGTTGTGCGCCTGGCGCTGTGGGCTTGCTTCAGCTTCTGTTCAACCTGTCCGTTCGTTTGTTAGGTGCGTTCTCACAGGCGCGTCGTCCACCCCAGTTGACGCGCCCTTCCCTGCCTCCATGCCCCTGGCGCGTCATCCACCCCAGGCGAGGCGCCATCCGCTCGTCCGCCTTCAGCGCTCCCACCTTCTTTCCACTGGTCTGGTGTTTCCCATTCCTCACGCCGCCCACCCTGGGTGGGGCGCCCTCCCCCCCCCCCCGCGGGCACGGCTTCCTGCCCAATGGTTGCGCTGTGCGCCGGCTGAGGCCCTGCCCGGCCGCGGCCACCTGCCCACTGGCTGCACGCTTCTTGCTTCAGCGCGTGGTGTGCTGGCCGCCCCTGGCTGTGCGCCTCGCTCACATCACCATTTTATCCTTGTCTACCGCGGATTTATCGTTTCAGGTATTGGTGCAACATACCGCGCTGCATCCATCATGGCGCCCTGGAAAAAAGGACTCGTGACCGTCTTCCTTTTCTACCTTTACTTACGGGAAATATAGTATGCTCGACTGTTTGGTCGTTAACCCACATACACAGGTGGTGTCGAGCTTGATTCGCAAGAGGAATGCCAGGTCAAAGAACGCCGAACTCGCAGCCGAAAGTAGACAGATGGAATATCTCGGTTTTGAAAAGTCTTGCTTTGCCAAGATGTGGGATGGCAGTTGCGAGTCGCATCTTAGTCACGAGGGGTGCCGGCACTTTCGCCGCCATACCCGTCGACAAGCAGTTTGCTCCAAAACTGCATCTTCGAGTTCGACTCTGTGAGCATCGATTCGGCAATTTTGATTCCTCGATTAACAGGTCGAGGCCATCACATCATGGCCTATGGGGGAGGAGGGGGAGGAGGAACAGGGTAATAGAAAAACAGGAAGAGGAGGAGGAGGACAAGGGGAGGAGGTGTGTGGTGGTCCTGCGATCCCAATCCTGGGTTCGAGCGTGACTCCAGAGCCCGCGCTTGACGACGACGACGACGACGACGACGACGAGGATGAGGACGACGACGACGACGTCGCCCGCGGAAATATCACGCGTGTAACAGGGACAGGCGTAAGGCGGTACGATCAGGAAGGGAATGGAAGAGAGATGAAGGAGCCCGTGACTGACCACCTATCACAATCAAGTATTTGCGGTGGGGAGCCCTGTCTTGACGAGCGTAGGAGTGCACTGTCAAACGTGCCATTCAGAAACTATTAGTCGTGGAGGAACTATGCTTCACGAGAGCCTAAGGCATATGCTGGGAAAGTGAGATGACGTGGTCAGATGTGCGTAATCCCAGACATGGCAGCGGGTGGAGGACACGATGCCGATTGGGGATAGATTACAAGCAAAAGCGAATGATGATGACAATTGCTCTCCTGCTGGTCCCTCCCCCTGCTCGTCGTCCTGCTTCCTCCCTCTGGGTTTCGCGCTCTCTCAGCTGCACGGTCCGCGAGGTGCAGGCTCATGGACCTCCTTGCCTCTCCGCGCTGCGCCGCTCCGGAGGAGAGGCAGTCCTGGCAAGCGCCTGGCTCCGCGCGCCCCAGGGGGGGCCGGCGGAGGGCGCGCGCCGCCCGGCGGGCCGTGGCGTGCGCGCCCTGGCCGGAGCGCCGCAGGCCGAGGTCCGCGCGAAGTTCGAGCGCTACGGGCAGATCGCGCGGGCCCCAGCCGGACACTAGGGGGGGGCCCTCGTCGTCGTCTTCGTCCTCGTCGTCCTTCAAGCCGCTCAAGCGCATCCGCACCCCCGGCTCAAGGCAACGATGGAGGGGGAGAGAGAGCCAGCAAGTAACACCGATGGAAGACTACCTCCAGGTCTCCAGAGATCTCCAGAAACCTCCAGAGATCTCCCGAGACCTCGGGGGCCTCCGTCTTCCTCACTTGGGGAGGTGAGGAAGTCGGGGGAGCAGGGGTGAAGGGGAGAGGGTGAGAAGGTGTGGGGGTCATGGATCAGGGATCAGGCCGAGGCGCAACATCCGATTCGAATGAGGGCTGGCGGGCAAGGGAAAAGGGTGAGGGCGCAGGATTCCCGCCGTTACGGTCCTGCAACCCTCCGCTCAGGCCGAGGGCCCCTAGGACACCAACCGTGATGGCAAGCAGCACGACGGCACCAGCCGCTGCCTACCCCCATGGCTGGCGCACCTAGCGGACCTCGCGACCTGCCAGAGCAGCCTCGATGCGCCAAGACTGCACCGAGGCCTCTCGGCAGGCCCACGACAGTCGGCCAAGAGGCCCCTCCAAACAGGGGCCTCGATGGAGGCGCGAGCGCCGCAGCGGCGGTACAGCAAGTACTTGACGGTGGCCTGAACCAGGTGGCCACGATACTCAAAGGACTCCAGCGCCTGCACATGCAGGCTATCGTACATGAGACCCAACTCACGACAGGCGCGTAAGACTGCATCACTGCGTGCCCTCGGGAGTAGACCATTGTGACGCTCAGCTCTTGCCGCAGAAAGAAATAAGTGGAGCGGTGTCGGCTCACACTTGTTGCCAGGCTGCTCAACCTTCGCTCTCGAAAGCGAGGTCTTGCCCGAGCAGAGGCACCACGTACATCTCACCCCCCCGCCTTCCACCACCTCGAGGTCGTGCGAGAGGAGAGAAAGCTGAGGCCGCACCGTGAGGTTTCGTTTGGGCCTGTCAGACATGGAAGTGGGCTCGGCCTGCGACACAACGTACTGAGCAACCTGACCCAAAAATCTGTACGTCTTTTTCACGTCACTCAGGTGCGCTTTGAGCGTTGAAGTGGCAAGGCTGGCAACTGCATGCTGCCTCGCCCCTAGCTTCGCGAAAACATCAGCCCACAGGTTGCCCAGATAATCGAAGATCGCGGTGCGCACAGTTCGATTCAGGCTCAAAGAAGACTCGCCGAACAAGAGGGAGTCGAGGTTTCCGTGGGCCGGGGTCCAGCGGATACGGGGCTTCTCGCTGGGCGGAGTTCCCGCTGGGCACTCCTGAAGATTATTACGCCAGATGCCCGCATGCTTGCGGCTGCCTGTGGCCAAGGCAGCCGACCATCTAGATGCCTCATGCACCGCAGAGGTGGTCGCTGTCTATCTCGACTGTACTCGGGCCGTGACGGATCGCCTGCAGCAGCGCATACCTTTCGGCCCGAGGCACCGTTTGGATGGCCCCCGGGAGGGGCCCGAAACAAGCCCGCACGGGCCAGCCCCCAGGACTAAGTTCGACGACGGCCCACCCGCAGCGACATGCTTCGGGTGGACCGTTGGAAATACCAGATCCGTCAGTAAAAAGTTGAAATCCCCGCGGCAAGTTCGCGGCTCCCCAATACTGGGGGGGGGGTGTATCTGGCTGGGGCAGGTCGATGCAGAGGGGGAGAAGAGGAACGCCGTACGCCGCCGGGGGGGGGTACCTTTCGCTTTGTCTCTCAGCCGTTTGCCATGCTCCAGCACGTCGTCAGAAAAATTGATGCCTCGGCTGGGTCATCACTTGGTTACCAAACGTTTTTTGCATTCATATGATTGGTGACCGAAAGAGCCTGTCGCATCGCATCCCAGTTCGCACTTTGGACTGGCCACAAGGCCATGCTGATGCGTTTTGGCTGGCGGTCAGAGCTCCCCGCTGATGAGGCCCCTTAAGGCCGCTTGCCTGGATGGGGTCCTTAACAGACAAAATCCCTATTCGGAGCGCGCGCCCCCAGACAGGTTCGTCGCCCAAGGCCTCAGGGATCGCCTCTAAGATCTGGCGAACCTGAGCTCGGCTGATGCCCTCGCGCAAGCGCTGCTTGACATCCCAGGGGCAGGTGGTGAAAAAAGATATGATTTTGCCCTGGCCAGTCCGCAGCTGATGGTGAGATATCAAATCCCAACCGACACGACGCAAGGATAAGATGACCGCCCCTATCGGTCCTTGCGCTCTGTTCCAATGGGGGCGGTCCTGCAAACGAGCGCGAGCTGTCGAACCAGCCACTCTCAAGTCTGAATCGGACGCTTTCCGATCCCAGACCCAGCAACAATATCTGAGCGCAAGGGGGATAGTGGCATCGACAAAGGGGTCATAGCTGGGATCCTTGTGTGTATACAAGAAACCCGTCACGTGAGTAGCACCGCCAGCGCCCATAAGGCTCCCGGCTACGGCTCTCGAGGTTCTGAGCGTAGTATTAGTGGCTCCAGACACCGAGGCCCCATGGCCTCCACTGGACATGAGGCCAGTGCGCCACAACCCTGCGACCTTGATGCCCGCGGATTTCTTCAACACCTGGATGCGATTCTTTCGCCTGACCAACGCTGCTCGCCCGTTGGCTTCCACCTTGCGGAGAGTACGCCTGTCGAACAAATCATGACCCAGGTTGCGCATGTGAACATAGCCTCGCATCCCCATCAGCTTGGCCGACATTGCCGAATGCTTTGGAAGCGGCCAAGCTGGTGGCGACAAGTCCCGACTTCTCAGGTTGCAGCAGAAGGCCTATCGGGCGAACAAGACGACGTAACTCTCGAGCCGCAGCCAGAACCACTCTACCTCTCGCTGGGTCGGGGCCCGACCAGTGCAGCGACGCATCATCCATTGACGCTCTCGTTGGGACAGGGAACCGTAGGATCACGAACCTGGCTGGCTGTAACAGAACAGCCATCATAATCGATGTGGCCGCGGAGCAGCCAGCCACAATCCCCCGGAAGGAAACGAATGGCTCGGACAGGGAACCGAACGCGTCGATCCTCCGAGGGGCAACACAGGTCTGGATAACCATCCACCCAAGACGAAGCGGGAAACCAACCTGCCTAAAAATCTGGAACAGGACGGGGAGCTTGATCGTATCGTAGCATTAATCATATCGAGCAGACGCGTAAACGAGTACCAGCCTCTAGCTCTAGCAACTTCGGCCGACAGGCTTAAATCGAAAGCTGAGTCTGAAGCGTTCCTTTCCTTCCCAGTCCCCCAGAACTCCCGGGCGCGGCTACCCGCCCCCCAATCATCAGTGACAGCGCGGAGGACACGGCCCCACGCGTAGGAAAGTGTCTAGAATAGCTATTCAACGGTGGCCGCCATCTGGTTTTGGCAGTCCCACTGGCCAGCTGACAAGACGCCTGCTTGGCCAAACGAGTGCCTTCTCGCATTGCATGAGCAACGACGCCAGCGCAGCTAGCATAGCATCAGAGACGTTCTGGAGCGAACGAGGGTGGATCTTACAGCAGCCGACCGCCGTCTTCGGGAGAAATCTCGAGATCGCCCTCCTCAAATCGTCAACCCCGATCGGCGGCAAGCTCGCCCAATCCTTCGAATCGCTCGGCAACGGCAAATCGTCGCAAGAGTGAGTGGTCCAAATGTGGACCCACTCACTGTACGCATCGTCGGCCAGCTCGAACGGTTGGATCCGATGCCTTGGTAAACCTATGGGCAGCTTTGGCCCCGTCCAGAAAGGCGTCCCTGACCCAGCATTTCCAAGCTTCCTCTTTGCTGGCCAAGAAGACGGCCTCTGTTTCCTGAGCCAGGGAGAGAACTCGGTTAATCAAATCGGGCGTAGACGGATCACCTATCACGTCCACTCCAGAGGGGAGGGGTTGGCATGAGGAAGAGAGACGGGTGAATCCGACGACCGGGCTGGGCTTGGTCAGTGGGTGTTCAGGGGGGTTGCGACCCCCCCCAAATCTCCTGCGCATTGTTTTGTTGCACCCTGGAGTTTTTCCTTCGTTGTCGCCGCTGGCGGCCGCCGTCGTCGGGCCCCAGGGCTATCAGAAATGAGTCTAGGACGTCAAGCTGTCCCAGGGAAGGTGTCGAGACTTCTGGGGCCCGCGGATTGACGAAAATCAATCCGTCGGAGTCTGGGTTCTTGTCGCCGCATGCCGAGGCTTTCGCCAGAATGACCGCGCACGGCCTGCGCCGCAGGCGAGAGCAGCCGGATCGGAGATGCCTGCGGCGAGTGAAGGCCGCATCTTGCCGTTGGAGACGCCTTTCATGGTCGGATACGCAGTGAGCTTGTGCACAATATTTAGGCGCTTGCGTGACAGGTCCTAGCATTCCCATTTTGAGCATGCGATGCTATCGAAGACTCCTCTGGCTAGTTAGTCGGCCACAAGTCCAGCCATGCTAGTGGACTGCGTGTTACCCCATGCGGTGGGGAAGCGACACTGGGGAAAGTGCCCTCCGCGGCCGTCTTAGGGGCGGTTGGGGCTCTCGTCGGGCTTTTGGGGTCTTCCTCGGGCCCTCCAGAGTTGTCTTTTGGCTCTGTTGGGCTGTCTTGGGACGCTCTGGGGCCGTCTGGCGCCTTGGGAGGCAGTCTTGGGGACCTCTCTGGGCCTTGTGGTTCTCTTGGGGTCCTGCAGAGCCGTCTTCGGGCTGTCTGGGGACATCGTGGGTCGTGTTGAGGCCCTCCTGGGCGGGGGCCTTTTGGGCAGTCTTGGAATGATTTTGGTGACCTCTTGGGCTGTCGTAGATTATATATAAGCGTTAAGACCGAAAATGAGAGAACCCGAAAACATGAAGCACGCGAGATGCATGCCGTTTGTTTGCCTCGAGAGGCCCTCCTAGGGGTCCTCTTGGAGTCTTCTTGGGGGTCCTCTGGGCCGTCTTGCGGGCATCCTGGTCTGGGACCGTCTTGGAGGCGTCTTGAGCCTTCTTGGATGCACGTGGGCCATCTTGGGCCGAGTCGAGGGAGACAGGGGCTCTCTTGGAGCCATCTGGAACGGAAACGCCCACGGAGACG